TCCTATCGCGTAATCTCGTCGTGGCGCCCCGAATACACCGTCGTTTATACGAACTTCATCGCGGGAAGCGGAGAAGAGAAAGAAAAAGAGAGTGGGGGGAGAGAAAAAGTTCCGCAAAATACACGGACCGCCGTTAATCCGATATCGGGGATAAAGTTCGTACGGACACACGACGATTGCGTGCGTGTTATTGAAATCCTATCGCGCTAGAGTTGATTTATGAGCGTATTAGAAAATTGCCTTCTCGAAATCGATCGCGCCAGCTGCGCGGCACGAATTACAGGCCGGAGAAGGACGAGGAGAAGGGAGAAAAAAATGGTCGGTCGGACACAATTTTTGTAATCGACCGCAAAGTAATCTATCGCGGGGATGAGAAGGGAAAATGATACCGCTCGAGATATGTACAGGGCGGTTTAAAAGTCCGAAAACGGCCAATTATCTCCGAAATAATTGGTTTTATGGAAAAATGTTTGACAGCGTTATCCGATGAACACCGCGAAGAGGTTACTTGGTTAGACTTTATCCATACATATGGCTCTGAAAAGAGCCGGCCGCACAATCGGCCCTTTGTGTATGTTCCAAGATAACCACCCTGCGGTGTCCATCGGGTAACGCTGATGCTGGTGGCAGATCAACATTTAATCCTTCTAGCTCCTATGCTAAAAGTTCGATTTGGACATTATCATAATATTTTGAAAAGGTCATGACGTCATTTACCAAAATATGTGACAAAAAGTGGGGCTATCCGTTCAAATGTTTTAAGGTCATCTTGACAGTTCATCGCAAGGTCATTTTAAGGTCACGGAGACAGTCTAGTACAAATTTGTGAACACTGCAAGTTTTGTCTGAAACATTTTCTTATAAAACCAATTATTTCGGAGATAATTGGCCATTTCCGGGCTTTTAAATGACCCTGTATATACCGCGCGGACTGTTTAAACGAGAATCTCGCCGCCGCTCCAGCCCTTCGCGGATGGGATTAAAACTCGAGATTTAAATTTAGATGAATTTCCCCACAAATTAGGAGATCCAAATCAGCGAATGAGAATTTGAGCGCTTTTTAAAGCGCTCCTTTCTCTCGGTGGGGGAGGAGAAAGGGCTCGCGCGCATGATGAAAATGATGCCATTAACATTCATTCGACGCGACGTTAAGTTTTTGCGCTCGAGTTTTGCGCTAATTAAATTCTTTCGTTGGAAATATCCCCGGCCGGTCGCGAGCTAGCGACGAGATTACGAAGGGTTGGGATTCGTCAATGACGAGTGAGCCGCGCCGGTAACGTGATTATTCGCTCGTCCCGGCGAGCTGGTTTTCGTTGACGCTTAATTAACCCGAGAACTGTTTTATTTAATTTATATTCCTTTCTTCACGCGCACTTCGCCGGTACAATTTAGCGAGCGAGCGAGCAACATTTTTATTACGGTCTTGTATATCAAATCCTTCCCCGCGAGCGACGGGAAATAATATAGAAAAGAGGATACAACTGACAGTCACGCGAAGTAGTCACAAGGTAATTACAAAGAGTATGAATTAAACATCTAACAACCAGGGGGATAAGCTAAATTAAATGGGACGAAATGAAGCGGAGCGGGAGATGGGCCGCGAGGAATAAAAGTGCAGCGGAAGAAGGAGCGAGGAAAGAGAGGTGTTAACGGAAAAATCGATACATTGCTGGTCGAGATTGAATAGAGAACGTCTCGAGCGAACGTTTCGAACTCCGGTGAGATATTGACACGTTAAAATGTTAACGAGACCTCGTCGCAACGAAGGGTACGAGGTATGAATCAAAGGTTACAGTGTGTGCCCGCGTACGCGTGGCAGGATAGAGTGTCATTTCTTGTCGGTTAATCCGCCGAAATAGGATTTCGCGTTTCCGACAGCGTCCCGCATGCGGAACTTAAACGCTAATAGTCGCTTTATATAAAGGGTGGCTCGTCCGCGGGAGGGCGGCCGCGCGGTGGCAGCGGATCGCCGAAGGCGATAACCGGGCGAAGTTCACAGCGGCAATTAAATGTGCAAATAGCGAAGAAGCTGCGCGCAGAGCGCCCGCCCGTTCACGAATGTTATCGATTCCGTTGCCGCGGTCTCGTGTAAGCAAAACCGCACCGTACTTTCTCTCTCTCTCTCCCTCTTCCGTCGCCCACGCTCCGCCAGAGACACATCCCGGAGGTAGCGATCAAGCCACACGTCGAAGAGATGCTAAACCGATGCCGAGTATAGGTCAATATTTGCCGAGTACTTGGGCCAATAATTTAGACAGCTCGCTTCTGTTACGTATCCGAGGCGCCTCTTCGTAACGACGTGATCCGGATGGTAGGCTAATCTCAAGGAAAAAGTGTCAACAACTTTAGCTAGAAACATCTCAGTTCTCGAATCGACGATCAATCTTTTTCCTAGCCGCGCGAGCAACGAGTTAGATATTTCGATATGTATGTAGTGCAAGTTTCGTCGAATTTTTATCGAACTGACTTTTACCTTACAACTTCCTTCAGAGTGGAGTAACTTTTCACCCGGGCTCTGAATTAGAATAGTAACTTTTGAAGTTACTTGTAAACGTGATGTAAATCGATTTCTAATTTTTTCGCAATTTTTCCATCATTTCTCGTTATTTCGACTTATGACGACACATCCTCAAGCGCGGTAGCGAACGTGTTAAATAAAGGAGAGTTTGAAGGGAAGGGAAGTCCGCGAAGATCGCGGATTAATTTTCCTTGCGGAGAGACGGAGTCACGGCAGCGCGTTGTTTTACGCCGCAACAGCACTGATCGCGGCCCGCTACGTCCGATTTCCCGTGCACGTGCGGCGTAAAGGGGGGGGAAAAAAAAAAAGTAACGGTTTTAAGACCGATGTTCGCACGTAAAGCTTCGGACGCGATACATCGGCGCGTATTTCCGAGCCGCGCGAATATCTCATCCAAGCGTAGCATCGCGTGACACCGCGCCGTTCTGAGTTTTCCTCCTGCGCGACATCTCGAGTCCTCTGACGGATCGCTCGGCCGTCCGAGTTTGCATGAATGGGCCAAGGGATTCGTCCCTCCCTCCCACAACGCTATATAGTCGCCGATTAAATAATTCAACGCGACGTAACCTACTCGGCGGGATTTCACTCGATAAATCCGGGTGAAAAACGCCGTAACGTAATTTCCTTATTACGAAATGCGTTACCGCGGGAACGCCGCTTGAACTTTAAGGGCCGGATATATTTCTTATTTACGAGCTACAAGCGGCGGCGGAGAGACTACCGTGAGCCCTTGTTCGAAGTATTCTCGTGTGATTTTACAAGCGACGCGACAGCGCACGGTAACGATCAATCGATCGACCGCGCGCGCGTTAATCAATCAATCGCAATTCGCAACGGTACTTCGGCAAAAGACGACGCCATTAAATCACTTTGCGCGTGTAAATCGTGAGCGTTAATTCCGCGGTGCGACGACGCAATTGCCTGAAATAGTCTCACTACGCGCACTTTCTGGCTTCATCTCCGGAGCACTGTGTCACGCCTAACTCACGATGCGAGGTACAACCGGACCCTTCTATTAGTATTCGCGCCTCGTACCTATTCAGTTAATAAATTCTGTTCCTTTCCACTTCTCTCTCTCTCTCTCTCTCTGTCTACCTGTCGTCTTTCTCCGTCTCTCGCGCATATCGCGCCCGAATTTTTACCTCGCCCTCGCGTCCCTTCACTAAATCACTGCAGCTACAATCGCGCGGGTTTTTGCGACGTAACTCTTATTAAATCATTATCCAGCCATTACCGTTAACATTTCCAAATAGTCGAGCAATCAACTGTTTATTATGCGAAGTCGCAGCGAGCGGGAAACCCCCGGGGCGCATTAAATAATTATATATTCATCCTTACTCTTCTCGCTGCTCTTCCTTCATTCCGCGATACTCTCCGGTACTCGTCGTCTGAGAACAGCGACAGCAGCGGCGGGACGGCGTTCCTGAGAGACTGTCGTTCCGGAAAATTTTACTCGACTGCGGATTAAATTCATTAACCGGCGAGTAAGGAGCTGAAGACGTCTCAAAATTCGAGCTGAATGTTAATAATTGCGAGTCATTATGGGACGCCCCGGCACTGTTACGCGATACTCAGAGCCGATGGTGCTTAGCGTAGGTCGGTCGCCGTTCCTCTCGCCGCCGGCCCGATAGTTCTCGCGTAGTATCGGATTTCATTGAGAGCTCCCGTTACGTCACTACTTCCTTTCGCCCTATCTATCTCCGTCTCTCCTGTTCGTATTAATATCGACCGCCGTCCGTATTATCAATATTACAAGTTCAGCGAACACGTTGCATAATACCGTATTAACGGGCGGAAGCGATGCGGTTTTCTTCGTATTCGCAAGTCCAGCCTTTTTTGCTTGAGGTTTATTTAACTCTGAGAATACATCGGTCTAAAGGCTGAAGTAACATCATAGGTCTCTCAGACCTACATCACGAAAAAATAGTGAAAATCGTGAATTTCTGCATATACATTCTTTTTGCTTTTTTTACGAATCATTATAAGTTTATCGTCGATTTTTATTTATTGCCGAAGACGAGAGGTTGTCGCCAGGAAACCAGTTATCCCATTGGATCAGGCTGATAGTAGCGGTGGTCACATGGATCCAACTTTTCTTCAGGCTAATAGAAGTAGAAATGAGGTGCACAATAAAAACATTTTGTATTTGTGTTAAAATCGGTCTTTGTTAAAATTTTTGTGTTTTTTATTATATTTTTATTATACTCTTATATATTATATTTTTATAAATTTTATTATATCTTATTATATAATATATATATTTTTTTAAATATAATTATATATATTATAAAATTTATTATATATTAATAAATTTTTAATATACTCGTGTGTTAATATTATCTCAACAATTTTGTGTTACGTCGATACTTAACATGTGTGTAAGTGTTAAATAATATTTTATATTTCAATATTGCGATTAACATATTTTGTGTTAATTTTTCATGTAATATTTGTTTACATTTCAACATACCCATCTTGTATCAAATTAATAGAAAAATGCAAGTAGACCGTAGGACACGTGAAATGTGTTAAATTTAACACAAAACTTTTTAATGTGCATAACGTCTTGCGCAAAAAGTGGAAAATGGGATAAATGAAAGATAACGCGTATTGGTCTCATAGACATAACACGTTACTGTCAGGGTTAGGAATTTTCTTCAATTTAGAGTCAATATCGAGAAAATGTTGAGACGCGAGCGATTGAAAATAAACAGATTTTCCGGACGTGTCGGAGCACGAGGTGTGCAAAACTACTTAAAGTGACTGTATCTTACTTTTCCTTTAATTTCAAGCGGATACTTTATTCCAGTAGACTCGCCATTCAATCGGAGATATCCGCGATCGGGGATTCGCGACGAATCATGACCTTCCTCATGACATTTTCGCCAAAAAATCGACCGGCAAAGTGGCCTCAGAAGAAGCCGCAGGAGTCCGGCCGCGGTCCCCGCCGCCATGTGTGAGATCCATCCGCGGGGTAGCGCGGACGACTACGGGGAGTTCTCTTATTTATAATAAAAGACGATCTCGTGCAAAATGAATGCAAACGGCAAACGCGGCGTCGACGGGGAAATAGAGGAGCGCTGAAAAAGGCAAGGTCTCCCGGTGACAAACGCGTCACGTTGCGGACGGCCCGACGGCCGACTGCATTATTTACACCCACTTACTGCCGGCCGTCGCTTTCGGTCGTTACACACGTTCTGTATGGTTATCTGAAATGATATACGACGGGTCCTTTCGCGTAAACGCAGCGTATAGATTATTGAGGCGCGTCCCTCACCTTCGTATCTCTCTCCGCCGCCGCCGACGTCGTTGAAAATGTCGGCGTGGAAAGTGGCGTACTGTCCGTACCGATGAAAATCGTCATTCCTTTGTCAGCGGTTCTCTGATATCGACAGCGGAGCGTGCGTCTGGCAAGACATGATTGAAACATACTCCGACCCGCGGGCTCTATAGGCTTTGTAAGAAATCATGCCGCTCGGAAAAAATGTATCGTCGCTCGTCTTTCCTCGATGAAGGTGTTATTATCGCGGCCGGATCCACCGGAAGATAACTGTATCTCGTCACTCGCAGCGAACGATGTCGTCAGTGTAAAAAAAAAAATATATATATATATATATAACAAAAAGCAAATCTCGAAATTTACATCTCTATATAATTGTTATGTCATATTCAGGATGATATGCCTGTGCAGGACGAACACAGCGCGACCGAGAAGCGGGCACACGTGCGCCTGACAAATTTGCGGAATCGATTTTCCCAAAAGCGGAGTCTCGTGGGCTACAGAGGAAAGGGGGGGATTCGCTCCGATCTATTTTTGCGCTCGTGCCACTAAACATAGACATTCGATGTGATTATAGTCCGTACTAATAGATGTCACTTGAAACTCGTCTCATGTATGGGATACTCAGACCCGAATTCGCAATTAGATCTGAACTTTTCACTTGAATTGTATGATTATATTTCACATTACATCTATTCAAGCAAAAAAAAGTAAACGCTATTCAACTAAAAAGCTCACATCTAACTCTGAATTCAAATCTGAGTATCTCGTCTGAAGCAAGTTTCAAGTGGCAACTGCACGGAGAAAAAATTCCGTCGAATCGATAAAATTCCCAGCAGCAGCGCGATTGGAATAAATCTTCTCGGCTCGATGGCAAGTATCATTAAAACTATGTTATGTATTGTTTCAATAATTAAAATATTAGTTCAATATTCACTTCAACAGCTTGAATAATATCTCAATTGAAGAGGCCACTCAAGAAGACCCGCTCCAATTACTCGTGCTGTCGGAAATTCTATTGATTCGACAGCAGCATTTTTTTGCCGTATATTAATAATTATTAACATGTAAGGGCCTAAGCGTTGCTTGTTTCCGATCTTTACGTTTTCCCCGCTTCAGGGGTCGCGCGATAAAACTCCGTTCACCGATATTTAATCGTAGATTAAACGTACCGAGAGACGGAGGATAATTCCGCGTCATTTAGCGATCAGGAACCGTTCCCCTGCGCTTTCTCCTCTCCCCCTGCCCCGACTCTTCCGATGCCGCTCCATCGCAGCCTCATTCGCTATTTTAGCCGGGAACAAACCGCAGCGTAACCGCAAACTGCCACGCCGCAGTCGGATGTTAGACGAGGCATAGCTTAGAGAAACATTGTTCCAAATGGGAGTTACCATACGCAAATGTAAGCGCGCGCCGCCTGTGTGAAAGGTAAACGTCCAAACTGACGTATGCGCCGCGGTGTGTGTGCAATCTGCGGCGTGTACGTGAGCGGGCCTCATCGGCGTGCGAATAAATCGAGAAGCGCTCGCGCGCGTATCGGGTCGCGAACGATCCGACATCCAGCAGCAGCTCGATCGCGCTCCGTTTCTCCCGCGCCAAGAGATCAGACAGGGGGATCGGTCTGCAATTAGCGTGGAAGTAAACGTCCGTCCGGAACACCGTTGTCCGTCGGCCGGGAGCACCGCCCGATAAATTACGCGGCTCTACCACTGCCGGGCGCGCGGGATGGAAAGGCCGTTAAACAGAGCTTAAATAAATCGTGACGAATGGCCGTGAGTGTTTTCCCGGCGCGGAAGAAGCTCCATAGATTTCGGAAACGCGAAGACTCCGGCTGACTTCCTCGGAGAGGATCCCGATTTCACTCGCCGAGCTTAGACGGCGATTGTGCCGGCTCTCCGGCGTTGCTTTCCCCGCCGGGAGAATTCATATAGGAATCGTGTATATTCCGTCAGTGCGGAATACCGGCGCGGTTCTGAGCTGATACTGAAAAGCGGATGTCATGTTTCTGCTGGCCCGGTATTCGAAAGGCAATATAATCGCTCGCAGTTCTCTCGGTGGTTTGTACGTTTATTCAGTCGCTGTGTTCGCCTTTCGTTCCAGCCGGCGAAGGGGAGGAATGAAACGGCCGTTCGCGCGGTTACCGAGGTCATTTTGTCGTCGGCAATTTTTCGCTTAGCGTTGCGTTATCGGTGAGAAGGCATTCTGATAAGCTACTTATTAACAGGCATCTTGCATTTGTCGGTCACATTGAAGTAGAGGTAGCTGCGATTGGCGGAGATGCTCTCACGACCGATATCCGGTGGTATTACCTTCTTGTCATTATGCTGAATCGCTATATTCATATCGGGTTCTACCTTCAGGAAGAAGAAATACGGGACATCGTCGTCGACGGCTGGCGCCACGTCCCTTACCAGCTTCCTGGCCGCGTCGCGTTTCGCCCTTCCTGCGAGCTGTAAGATCGAACATGAGACGCACGTATCGCGTCTATTACTCGCGGGAAAGTTATCGAAAATATCGGATAGAATTTTCATAACTCGCGCGGGGGAGAATGGGAGGGGGGGGGGCAACTTTATGCTCCATTAAATCGCGTTTTCGCGAAAACGTTTCATAAAATTAGCTATATGATTTGCGATATCACGGGGAAGCGGGTTTTCGCACGCTGCGCGACACGTGTATCGATATTACGTGATATTTAATATCACATTTCCCGAGGTATATTTTCCACGTGACAGCTCCCCGACAGAAACAGATTGTGCGGCGGCTCACGTCGATTCACGTAAGTCTCTCCCAATGATTTCGTCGGCCGATCGCGTTTTGTCGAACGGAGTGTATTACGAAGAAATCATTAATCTCGAGGCTCGATCCGGCGTTTCCGCCGACGTGGAATTTGGATGCTCAATAAACACGTTATACTCCCCCTCTCTCGGTCCGCTCGCTCGTTCACTCTTTCTCTCGTAACGCTAATGTAAACGGGGACGATGATAAATCGACACAGCCCGGCGACTATCGTTTCCCTATTGCGGCGGCGCGATTGAGACAATTCGCAATTTCGAATGCGCCACGGCGCGCTCACGAGCATCAACGTCCGTGCGAGACGACGGATCGTCGGACCATTAACACAACTTCCACGCATTCCGCGCTTCGCCGGAGGCTGATGTATATGAGATTGATATGAGTGCAACAATGCGACTGTCGTCGCGGCGCGACGTGACGTTACGGTCAACATAAGGTAAAAAGCACGCGCGGAAAACAGCGGAATGAATTTCGCCGCGGGGAGCGCGAATGTAAATATGATGAAATATTCACGCGGGATATACGTTATTTCGTGCTGTATTTAATAAGAGCGACGCGTGCGGCAACCGCTTCCCGCGTTCGTTGCGACTCGGCCACCTCGTGCTGTCATCGGCAATTAGCGCGAGCCCCAAACGTCATTGACATTCGCGACGCGGACGGATCGCGGCAACTTAGTTTTACTTCTGCGTGGAGCAGCGGCGAAGTTGCGCTCTCAAACGTAACGATTGATTGCAGTAGGCCAATAGCGGTCCGATTGATTGCCGTAATGCTATTCGGATGTTCGCCTGCCTCCGCGGCGGTTTCGAACGTTGACCACCGCCTGCGTCACCGTCAACATCGATCTTCCCGAGCGCGATCCCCCGTAAACGTGAAATAACGCCCACGTGTGCTTCAAATTTCGGCCATATTTTCGATCCACGATATCGGCGGCGGGACTGCAATCGGATTTCGGAATCTGATCGTAATTTATCGGCATCACGTCGCCAACGCCGTAGCGCCTCGCTGTCGATGCGGCCCCCTCTTACAAATTTATTCCCGTACGCATTTATCTCCCTACGAATTTGCCTCCCCCCTTCCCCCCCCCCGCGAATTTATAATTCGTGCCGCATCTCCACGCGCATAATGAGAATTCTCTTTCTTCCCGCCCGTCTTTATCGCACGTCATTCTCGCGAGAAATCGGAAGCTGCGCGCGCTCGGAGACTTGCCATCTCAGTTTGTCCCCCGGTCGGTAGGATCTCAACAAATCGTCTGTGAAATATCGCACTATCGAAATGTATCCACTATTCATCTTTCAAGAAAATTCAGATCTCTATAGTTCCGTCTTTAGAAATATATCTAGTGTTAGTTATGGTATTTTTCAATAATGTGTTTTGCTCTGTTTATAATTTATCAATTAAAGTGAAAGTACTAATGCCTGGACACGTATCTGACTGCGAAGAGTCAATACGAATGTTTGATCTTTAAACGTCAAATATTTATAGGCGAGAATGGGGTAATGCCGGTCACCTTTATATCTGGACTTGTGGTCGGCACGAATTCTGTAAATTTCTGTCCTTTATGGAGAACCGGAAGAAACGTGAGACAAAATATCGCTCGCTTAGCATTATTCGTGGTTAAACTATTGCGAAAAGTTTGTTTCGTCGTTTTCTGGTGTAAGGATCGCTGCTAAGAAAGCATGGTAAGTCGGTATATTTATTTATGCTGAAATATTGCATTATTTTCTGCAATGTCTGGTTAAGCAGTGTTTTCGCGACGATATCATTCACGGAGGAATGCTTTCGCTTACTTTCGATGTCGCGAGCGACAGCGCGATTTCGGTCGCCTTCGTCGTCGCTTTCGACGGCGGCCGCGGCGCCCTCGTCGAAGAGCCGCGTCACCGGAGGAGACTCGTCCTCCGTTTCACTCACCTCCAGTAAGGAGTCTTTATACTGATCATCCGATATTGGCGCTTCGGCATCATCCCACTCGGGCGCGCCCGTTGGGGTTTCAATCGCTCCCGTCGTCGGTCGCGGTGGTGTCCTTTCTTCCGCTGGGAGACCGACCGCATCTTCGGCTCGCTTTCTCGGATATTTCGTATCTTCCACGTCCAGTTCCTTGTCCGTGTCACGAATTTTCGCCGTGGCTTTCACCTTTTTACCCACGATCTCCTTGGCAGCCTGAAAGCGCGAGCACACATGATAGTCCGCACATCGTCGTGGCGGCGAACTTTCTCGGTGATTGCGAAATCGACGGAAGGGAACAGCCGCGAACAAGAATCCCAGGTAAATTGCATTACACGAGAAGTGAGTTCTCCNTATAGATATTTCTTTGGGAAAAACTTTACCTCCGTTGTGTATCAGACAAGGCGATACAATTCGCTCCGATTTGTTTGATTTTTTCTCCTTCTTTTTCTATTCCTTTCTCCACGTTATTATTGCTGTCATAATTTAATATTAAGTTTTCTCAAAGCATTAATCTCTCGCGTTTCGCCTGCTCATCCGCCGGCTCGGCGGTGGAGCTAAGTATATAATCCGATATCTCCGAGAAAATTCTTGTATTCCCATAATGAGATTCGCGAGTACGCCGTTGGCAATAAAGAACCGTGTTCGTCGGAATTAACAGAGAGAGAGAGAGAGAGAGAGAGAGAGAGAGAGAGAGAGAACGTTCACGCGCGCGCGTTCCTTATATCACAAGATTAAAAGAAAATATTTTATGAGATAGCTACTTGATCGGCGGTCCTCTTCCAATGCTTGTAATAAGATCTGTACAGAGTGGCCTGATGAGTGAAATTCTCCAGCAGTTCAATCATTTCCGCGCGGTCCTTTGGTATGTCGAGACGCTGCGCAAATTAAACGGCTGTCTCTCAGCTGACCGCGTACTAGAGCTGTTAATCTTTGATAATTCTGAAGCTTCGAAGAAAAATTCAAACTTTCGAATTTTGCTAAGGCGAAGCTTCGATGGTTCGTTTTCAAAGGACGTAATCTTCGAAATTTCGAAGCTCCGAAGAATATAATCAGGGCATTATATAATTTAAAATTCTTATAATTCCGATGTTCCGAAGTCTTGAAGCTTCGATATTTTCGAAATTCAAATAATGAACACCGAATCTTCGGAGATTCGAAGTTCGAATATCAAAGCTTTCGAAAGAAAACATTAGCCCTATCGTATACACATACACATATATGTATACAGGTCTTTCTTTCTTGGTGTCTGTAATATGCAGATAGAACGAGTGAAACTGGACAGAAAATTCATGTACCATTTTGCAAAGTTTGCAATAATTAATAAGGAATGAAATAGTCTGTATGATCTAATGAGTGCGTGGAAAACGATAAGTCGGACTTTGTATAAAGAAAAATGGCTAACTTGTGAAAATTTTCTAGCTACGATGAGAGTATCAATTGATTTCTAGGGGCGGAATAACGTAGCGAGCAGCGAATGACACGCGCGCTGAAAAGAAACTTGCATCTCGCTATCAGTCGATACCTATCGTTGTTAAGAGATCTTCAGAAGTAAACCATTTTTCTTTATACAGAGTCCGGCCTGCCGCTTCCTGTGCTCCCATTAGCTTACACAAATTGATTAATTCCTTATTAACTATTGTGAATAAAGGCAAAACGATATTGGAAAAACTTTTCTGTTTATCTCAATCCGTTCGACATCCTCGAGAACTTCCGTGTTGATTTGGGACACCCTGTATATGAACCATCGAAACTACAAATTATTTGTCGTACGATGGCACAGTGGCTCGCGGAAAAACGTGTAACATCTTCGCGAGATAGTCGGCGAAGTCGTATCTCNGGGGGGGGGGGGGTATCTTCTCAGTCGACGCGATCTAATTTATTCACGGAACGTTCGGTTTGTCTCTCCCTTGTCTTCCCCCCTCTCTCTCTCTTGTTTTCTCTATTCCTTTCGTTTTTGTTTCCTTTTTGCCTATGTACTGTATTCATTATTCGCAGATCGATATTTATTACGTAGACGTAATAAACCCGCGCGTAGAATAGCGATGACATCGGAAGACCGTCCATCGTGGAACAAAGGAGAACAAGAGAAAGAGGGAAGGAGAGAAAGAGAGAGAGGAAGAGACATCACTTGAGAACTCCTCGATTGCCCCTCTGTGAAACGCTCGGGATCAACGATTGACACGGGAATTACGCGCGAGCGATCTCCCCCCCCCCCCCC